GGAGGCTGGAGGGGAAGGGCCGCGCCTGCGCGCTGCAGCTGTGCTCCTCTGCAGACCCCACATGGCTCAGCACCAACCTGGGCGTGCTCACCTGCATCCAGTGCTCCGGGGTCCACCGCGAGCTGGGCGTGCGCTTCTCGCGCATTCAGTCCCTCACCTTGGACCTGCTGGGCCCCTCCGAGTTGTTGGTGAGGGCGGGTCGCGGGCGGGACCAGAGGTGGGACTAGGGGTGTGGCTTGGTCCAGGGGAGGGGCTTGGGCGGGGCTCTCCAGGAGCTGTAGTGTTGGGGGTGGGGCCACGCCAAGATGGGCTGCATCTGAAGGGGCCAAAAAGCGGGTGTCCTCAGGCGGTGGCCTGGATGGGGAGGGCCACCGAGGGATGCGACTTGAAGAAGCTCAGCTTTCTCTTGAGCGCGGTCCTGACCACCTGGTTTTACATGCACACTTTCCCGTGTCTCCAGCTGGCCTTGAACATCGGAAACACGCGCTTCAATGAAGTCATGGAGGCCCAGCTGCCCTCTCATGGTGGTACTAAGCCCTCTGCTGAGAGTGACATGTACGGAGGTTCCTGGGATAGAGGGATTCTGCCTTCCCAGCTCCTGGGTCTCACAGGGGTCCAAGAACAGAAGTTTTGGGAGAGGGAAGCCTCAGATTTAAAAGTCTCCAAAACACGATTCTGGGAAATGGGGCACTATCCTCCGTGGGATGGCTCCAGGGTGGACTGGGCAGAAACAGTCCTTCCTCTGAGAACTGTGGTTGTCTTGGTAGGAGCACCCGCAGGGACTACATCGTGGCCAAGTATGTAGAACACAGGTTTGCCCGCCGATCTGCATGTGAGGCTCAGAAACTCCAAGCAGCCATTTACAACAGGGACCTCCTGTCAGTACTGGAGGCCTTTGCTAGTGGGCAGGACTTTGGACAACCACTGCCAGGGCTGGATGGGCAGGTGAGAACCTCTCCCAGCAACCACCTGTAATCCACCTGCACACACACTCTCCAGGCCTCCTGCAGGACCAGCTCTTACTCCCCCAGAACCTGTCACTGCCATCTGCTCAAATCTCAGGGGTAAATGGGGAAAAGCAAAACTTCAGTCAAGCAAGTCTGAGCCAGAACCCTGCTTGTGTCTTTTTTCTAGCTGTGCAGTCCAAAGCAGCTTACTTATCTGAGAATCATTTCCTCATCTGTAAAAGGGGTAAATAATAGCTCCCCCAGGATTGAATAGCTTGAGAGTAGATGAGAGCAGGTCAGATTAGAGCAGGGAAAGCTATTACATTGGCTGTGCCAGTAATCGACACCATGTGAGCAAGGAGAAAAGATATCAGAGACTGGAAGAATTAATCAGGAGTTGCTAATCGGACATTAAAAATTGGATGTCATGAACTGGGTGTGTGTCTCAGTGGTATCATGTGTGATCGGCACTCACAAGGCCCTGGGTTCAATCCCCTGCACACCCACCCAACAAACAAAAAACACCTGAATCTCTTTGAGCTGTCTGATACCCTGTTGGGCTGTGCAGTGGCCAGTAAGGGGATGACACCTGGGTGAAGTCAGAATGTGCAGCAGCCTGAATGATAGGACAGCCCTGTGTGTGACTGACAGTGGAAAGTGTGGGGCTGTGGTGATCACAGTGGGAACTGCATATAGAGATGGAAGCCCAGGCCAGAATGAGGTTCAGGAACTCCTTTGGGGGGGGTCGGGCAGAGGAGGAGGAACTGTGGCCTAAAACCGTGAGGAAATCGTCAGCCCTTTCCCCTCGCCCCAGATGTAAGGCTCTGCCCTTCAGTTTCATCTCCCTGGGGTTCTGGCAGCTCCTTCCTATCTGGAGGCATCCAGGCAGCATTGGGTGGGGGCAGGTGGCCTGGGGAAACTCACGTGTGGATGTGTGTATTTGATCCAGGCACCTGGAGAGCTGGCCCTGCATTTGGCCGTCAGAGTTGCCAACCAGGCGTCCCTGCCCCTGGTAGACTTCATCATCCAGAATGGGTGAGAACCCGCCTGCCACCGCTCCTCTTTCCCCCTCTCTCCCTGGTTTTGGCCTCCTCATCTGTCCCCCTTCTGTGCTCCCCCTACCCCAGTGGCCACCTGGACGCCAAGGCTGCAGATGGGAACACCGCCCTGCACTGTGCTGCACTCCATGGCCAGTCCGACTGCCTCAAGCTGCTGCTGAAAGGGAGAGCCTCAGTGGGCACAGGTGTGGTTGAGGATTCCCCCCATCAGACCGAGATGCCCACTGCCCCTGGGTGGGGCCTGCTTTTTGGATCAAGGGCACTGTTACCAAGCACAGCTTTGCAGACAGACATGCTGGTTTCTGACTGCCTCTGTGCCCTTAGGAGTCTGTGTTCATCTCTGGAACCTCAACTTTCTCATCTGTAAAATGACAATGATGCCATGGACCTAGTCGGCCTGCTAAAAAGATTAAAACAATGCTTCTGAAAGTATCTAGCAAAATAAATATTAGCTAAATCTGGATAATGCTGATTGCCATAGCTGCTGTTTACTGTTTTAACATAATGCCTGCTAGTATATCAAGTGATTTATGCATATTAATGTCATTCTCACAACAACCTGGTCAGATAGTTTCAAATATAGTGTGGTACCTTGGTCCACGAATTTAATTCTTTCCACAATTCTGGTCACAAACTGAATTGGATGAGAACGGCATCAAATTCAACGTTGACCTTTTGGAGAAATTTGATTTGGCCCATCTTAACCTCTAAACTGTTAATGTTTCCTCCACCGTGCCCATGACCCCTGGCTTTGCCCTGTTACAGTGAACGAGGCAGGAGAGACAGCTCTGGACATTGTCAGGAAGAAGCAGCACAAGGAGTGTGAGGAGCTGGTGAGTCTAAGGGAAGGGTCTGCCCTCTGACCCTCCCTCTCCTGCTGGGCCCCTGACCTCTGACCTGGAAAGCCTCTGTTCCTGGCAGCTGGAGCAGGCGCAGGCAGGGACCCTCACCTTCCCGCTGCACTTGGACTACGCCTGGGGAATCTCTGTGGAGCCTGGCACTGACAGTGAGGAGGACGAGGAAGAGAAGGTGGGGCCCAGCCTCTGTCCTGGGCCCTGGCCCCTGGCCCACAGGCCTAAGATGGCAGAAGGAAAGCTGGACTGGGCCTGGCGTGGGAGGGCAGGCTGAGTTGGGGAAACCAGGCTGTCCTTGCCCACAGCACTGCTCTCTGAAGCCCCCAGCCCAAGCTCGTTGGGCCAGCAGGAGGCTGGACATCAGCAACAAGACCTATGAGACCATTGGCAGCCTGGGACCAGCCACCCTACAGAGCCAGAGTGAGGACTGCCCCCCGCCCTTGCCAGTCAAAGCCTCTTCTCGGACCGTGGTACAAGGGCGTGTGGACTATGCCACTGGAGGTAAAGTCAGCTGCTCAGAAAAATGCCTACCATTTTTTTTGAGGGCCTACTATGTGCTGGGGCACTGAGCCAAGAATGTGTACGAGCTAGTCCACACCATCCTCACAGTCACTGGCGGGTGGGGGTCCAACCTCCCCCTAAGGTTAAAGGAACAGAGATGTTAAGTAAGAACCATACTCAAGGTCCCATAGCTAATCAGCCTCAGATGTGGGATTTAAACCCAGGTCTGTCTTAGTCCAAGTGACCCAGCTCTCATTCCGTATTCCTCATTATTTCACTTAAATAAAAAGACAGGCAAGAGTTTATGAAAAAGTGCGTACCTGTAATTCTAGCACTTGGGAGGCTGAGGCAGGAGGCGTGCCATGAATTCAAGGCTATCTTGGGCTACATAGTGAGTTCAAGGCCAGCCTGAAGTACATAGTCAGGCCTGTTTCAAAACACCAAAAAAAAAAAAAAAAAAAAAAAAAAAATTGGTGGAGCATCCACTTCATCCTGAGTCCTTCGAGGGTTGCCAGGTCTCTAGATCCAGTAAGGAAATAAAAACTGGCTGAGGGTGCAGCTCAGTAGTAGAGCACTTGCCTAGCATGTGCTGTGGCCCAAATCCTGGAATGCAGTTGATTATGGTATAAAGCTCAGTGCCACAGAGAATGTTAATTCCCAAAGGACAGGGATTTGACTGTTGACTGCTGTTTCCCCAGTGTCTCCCACCAAGTCTGGCTCCCTGTGCTCAGGAACTACTTATTGAATGGTAGAGCAGGCTTGTTCTGGGAGATTGGGAGGGAGCAGGTCCTGTTGGGGTTGGGGTGGCTTAGAAGGGCTATCGAGAGGGGTTGCGTAGAACCTGGGCTGAACGAGAGCCAAGGTCCTGAGCAGAAGTGGGGCAGTGAGCCTGCACGACCAGTAGATATGAATGTACCCTGCAGATGGAGACAGCTGGAGGGGTGGAGGGGTGAGGCAGGTAGACAGAACCATGATAGATCCTAGAAGCTAGAGACTGCTTTGATATGGAGCAGAGGAAATTATCACTTCTGGTTCTAGATCGTTCTGAAGTCTCCAGCCTGAGTTCTGAGCCCCCTGAGGCTTCTGAGGGCCTGGGCAGCCCAGCTTCCTCCTCCTCCAGCCTCACAAGCCCTGTGGAATCCGGGGGGCCTAGCCAAACCCTTCCCAGCTCTGAGGAAGGCCTCCAGGAGCCCCCAGGCACCTCCCGAGCCACTGTGACATCTGGCACCACCCCTGCTGAGGTGCACCTCCCCGTCCGGTTCAGGTGGGTAAGTGCCCAGCTGCGTGACCTGGGCAAGTATCCTGATCTCTCTGAGCATTTGTTTTTTCTGCCTCTAGTGGGACCTGCTCCAGGACTAGACCACATTGCAGCTCTCTCTGGGGCCCACACTCTAGGCAAAGATCCTGGACCTTGGGAGGTGGATGTCAGCCCCTTGGCCTTCCCTATCCTGCTCCCAGGTCTGCCCTGAGACTCGGGCTGCTGAGGTTGGATGAGAGAAGGCTTAGCCCCAGCTGTGTAGCGTACGTCCTCAACCCAAGTGTCCAGTCCTTTCCCTTCTTGGACACCCTTTTTCTGGAGTTTGGAGAAGCTGGACTTGAGGATACCTCCAAAGCCCCCTGGGTTTCAGTTCTAGGTCTCTGGGCCCTGTGGTGGACGAGACCTTCTAAGAGTCTTGTGGACCTTCTGCACACCCATCCTAAGCCCCCACCTTGCTGTTCACATGAGCCCAATCTCGCTCTGAGCGGCTCTGAGCACTAGGGCGACACTGACCTTTCTCTGTCTTTCAGCTCGGAGAGCACTCGCTCCTATCGCCGGGGGGCTCGGAGCCTGGAAGATGGTCCTTCAGCTCGACAGCCCCTGCCCAGAAGGAACACACCGGTAGCAGCTCATACTGCGCTCTCAGGGGCAGGGGTGGGGTGCAACGCTGGCCAAAGCTGGGCGCAGTGGGCTGGGAGATGCCTCCCCACGATGGGCACACAGACGTGCGGGTCCAGATGGCCGCCATTTGGCCAGTCCCTTTCCTTCCTGTTCCAGCCCAGGGCTGTGTAAAGCTGAGGAGAGCCCAGGCCTTGAGGGACAGCAGAGGTGACAGAGCCCGGGGAGGCTGAGCAAAGCTGTGTCTGCGGGGCCAGTTGGGAGACGCGGCGTCACTTCCCTGTGGAAGAGCGGGAGGAGGCTGGCTCTACGCCTCACTCCTCTCTCATCCAGGAGGCTCCTGGGATCCACAGGGACTTCCAGAGCCAGGCATAGGGGGATGTGACAGGGACAGGACAAGAGCTATCCCTTCATCGTGCCCCTCCCTGCTGAGGCACAAAGTCTCCAGCAGTTTACACCTGTGTTGATGCCTGTGAGGGGTAGGGACAGGCCCATGGGAAGGCTGCCTACTCTGTTCCTGATGCCCTGGGCGTTCCTCATTGATAGTGTTGGTTATCGGCTGGGAGTGGCTGAGGGCAGGGGCAGGAGCCGCTGTCTCTGGGGAGTCATATTCAGTCCGTCACAGTCAAGCACCAGGTACACATCTGTGTCCACATCCTGCTTCCACCGTCGCTCCAAAACCATGTGTCCATCACCAGGCGTTTAGCTGATGCTGCTTGTGGCACATGTGATAGTAAGAGCTCAGACTTTAATAAGAGTGAAGAAACCTTGCGTAAGTGGCTTTGCTTCTTTAAGCCTCAGTTTCGTCATCTGTAGAACGGGAATAATTTAATCTGTCCCATGATGGCACAGACATGAAATTGAGTGAGATAAACACCTGGTACACAATAGGTACTTAGGAAATGTTGGTTTCATCCTTGTCTCCCCCAGGTTGGCTTTACTGAAGGAGATGGCTCAAAAACTGGTGTTCTTCCAGCAAATTCTCTGTAACTTTTGCAAGACTAGCTCCTTGCTGACCCCTGCATGGCCACGCTGGACCCCAACATACAGAGCTGGGACCTGAGCCCACAGAAGTGGAAGCTAAAGCATCTGTACCCTTGGGTCTTGCTCTGTTAGTCATGGTCTTCTTCCTGCTGTGGACCATGCCACTCCAAGGACACTGGGCCTCCATACTGGGGTAGACGGTGGTTCTTCTCTTCTGTCTTATCCTCTCCCTTACCTCAGCCAGACAGCCTTGTATCTGGATCTGAGCCCGAGCTGGCTTCAGCGACAGAGCCCTCAGTCTCTCATCAGACCAGGACAAGTTCTCCCTTCAGTCTGGGGCTGCACTAGGACACGCCCTCCTACATCATCCTGTTCCAGACCAGGGACTGCCTTCTCGGCCTCTTAGTCTAGCAGTCCTTTACTGAATTCCAGCACTGTCCAGGCCTGCACTAGGCACTGTGGATGCCCTGTACGTAAGGCACGGGTCCTGGAGCTATGGTCCCTGGCTGGGAAGCTGGTTTCAAGGCCTGGCATAAGGACATGCAGGACTGTAGTTTGGAGAATGGTTCTGGGCTTGGGCAGAACCCACAATCAGCTGGTTTCCTGTCTGACCATTAATTGTCTGCAGCCCACTTTGTTCCAGTTGGCCAATGCCTGCGCTGTACTGGCTATTAAAGAGATATTCGAAAGGCCTGTCATTTGCAGGGTAACACAGCCTTCAGTGGGATCTAGACTATTTTCCCCAGCCTGGAAGTACAGTATGACTCACCCACATTCCCCTGTCTCCTTGATGTAGCAGATAAAACAGAAATGATCTGGGCTGTGGTCCGCACTTCTGTCATCTTTCTCTTGGTCCATTCAGGGGCCTTCCAGCCTGGGGGAGTGAGGGGCTAAGAAAGGAGAAAGGAAGCTGGACATGGTGGCACATGACAGTAATCCCAGCAATCGGGAGGCTGAGGCAGGAGGATCGCTGTGAGTTTGAGATCAGCCTGGGCTACATAGTGAGTTCCAGGTCAGTCTCAACTACATAGTGAGACCCTGTCTCAAAAAAAACAAAACCAAACAAAATGAGAAAAAAAAAAAAAAAGAAAGCGAAGTGACAGAGCAAAGACTTCAAGGCCAGGAATCCCTGCAGAGCTCAGCCCCGATTAGGAGGCAGGTGCTACCTAGCTGTCACCAACCACTAGGTCCCTACTCTGCAGCTGCTAGGTGCTGGGCTGGGCCAATGCAGGCAGGAGTATGGCCAGGAGGCAGGACTGTTCCACCCTGGAGCCGTACTGGTCTGCGGCCACTTGGAAACAGGATTGACTTCTGAGCCCCCGTGTCTGGTTTTGTTCATCTCAAATTTGTTATTTCACTCTGTAATAAAAGTTTCTGGAAGTAAATTCCATTGGCTTCAATCTATGGGATCTGGAGAGTATGGGGGAAAGGAAAGGAATCTCAGGGCCTGGAATTCTTTTCTCTCAACCTGGCAAGAGACGCACTCTGGTGTGAAGCAGTGGTTGTGGTACAGCCAGGGACAGTTTGCCCTAGAGGACAGCTGGTACAGCAGAAAACAGTTCCAGCTCAGGTTGCTACTGGCATCTAGTGGACAAAGGCCAGCAGTGCTGCTAAGCATCCCACACTGTGCCATGTCTTAGTTGGTTTTGTGTTGCTGCAGTGAAATAGAGCAGGGGCCTTTGAAAGTAAAGAGGTTTATTTGGCTGACAACTCTGCTGTCCTGCCCTCATGATGTTGGAGGGTCCAGACGGCACGGCCCTGTCATCCTGGCCTCAGCCCCCCTGGCTCCATGACAGCACGATAAACAGAGAACAAGCTGAGTGCAGGAGCAAGGGGGGACTTGCTCTATGACAACCCATTCTTGCCAGAACTAACACTTGGGGAGACCAGTTAATACTGGTCCCTTCCAAGGCGGTGTCCACTTTCACTGAGTACACCCTTCAAGTTTCCACCACCTCTCAACACTGGGATCCAAGCTTCCAGCACATGAAGCCTTGGGGAACACATTCAAACCATGCCCAAATCGCAGCAACGGGTCAGCCCCACAACAATGAACTACCCAGTTTAACATGTTAGTAGCGCAGCGGTCGAGAACACTGGACTAGATGCTTGCAGACCTGTTGTGTTTGGCTTGGCCATGGTCCCTGCCACACTCCCTGCTGATTGCCCCTGAGGTAAGGATTTGATTGAGGGCAAGTTTATCTGTGGAAGTATAGTGAGGATATAAAGAAGTGAAGCTCATGGCCAAAGAGCAATAAAGTGGGTGTTCGTGTGGCTTGACCACTGCAGGCAACAGGGCTTGAGCGTGTTAGGCACCTCAGTCTCCATATTGTCCCATTGAGATGACCCCCAACTCAACTCTTCTGGATCAGAGGGCATCCTTTCTGGGCATTAACTTCCTGCCTGCTCTCCAGCTCTTACAGAACAGTGGGTAACGGTCGGGGTGTGTCCAGGAGTTGTTTGCAGGTAACCTCTGAGATGGGCAGGTAGGCAAAGAGAATATAGCAGGTGCCAACAGTGTCACAAAAGTCCAGAATTGCCCTCTTTGGACTTCAGTTGTCCCATTTGTATGATGAAAGGGTAAGACCTGATGTTTTCTTAGGTTCTTCGAGCTCCAATGATGGAAGAATCCGACTGCTTTTGATGTCACACAGCTCAGGGTGGGACTGGATAGGTGGAAGACAGCATGCTAGGCAAGTGCTCAGTCACTGAGCCACTGTCCCGTACCTGTCTGGATACCCAGGGCTAGAACTGGCACACAGTAGGTTATCAATAAATGTGTCTCAAATGAATGACTTTTTCTCCCCTTCTTACAAACACTTTTCTCCAAACTCCCACTTTGCACTTTTTCTTCAGAAGGGATCATCCCCAACTATGCCGGTCCCCTCAACTCTGTTCCCCTATCCCGAATTCAATGCTGTTCCTATTGTTTAAGGTTTCGCTTGCCCAGTTTGTTGGGACTAGGTCTGTCTTGCTCACATGTTTCTTGAATGAATGAAAAAGAACACCCTTTGTCTACCTTGACCCCAGCAGCAGTGGAAAAAGAGAAGTCTACACTAGACTCCCTGTGACCCAAACTGGGATAGTGTTCTCTGAGGAAGAAGTTGTGTGTTTTTATTTAATAGGAGACTTTATTGAAGAGAGACAGTTCTTGAGAGAGAGAGAGAGAGAGGGGAAGGGACCCAGAAAGTGGGTTGCCCTGAGGAAGGAGTTTTAACCAGACGTTTTCCAAACCACAGCTCCCCAACCTACACACTCTGTGGATCAAATTTCCTGCCTCTCCTCTGAGACCCTGGGCCCTCTCCCAGGAAGGTCATCGCCTGCCCATTAAACTCACTTGTTAAGGAAGGAACCAAGGCAGGGGTACAGGAGCACAGGAAGACAGGGAGTGCCCAGCTGGAAGAGCTGGAAGAGGGGGCACATTTTTTTTTCCTCCCCTCCATCCAAAATTACCCTTCCAAGCCCAGTGCTACGGAGGGCAGCAGCCTTATTTACTTTGAGTAAATATGGTACCTATGCACACCTCATAAGTATTTCTCACCTGAGTGCCCTTAAAAATCCAAGCCTGGGCTGGGGATTTAGCTCATTGGCACTGCACCTACCTCACAAGTGCCAAGATCCTGAGCTCAGTCCCCCCAAAAAAGAATCCAAATCCTTCTCCACTCAGAGCTATAGCCATGGGAGGGATGGAACCCCGCAGTTAGAAATGCACCCTCAAGTATAATGACCAGAACAGCTGCTTACGTGGGCACGCCCAGGCCGCAGGCACGGAGGAGTGAGCCTAACTTAGCACAGAGCTGGACAGACGATTAGCACCCAGAGTGACTCCAGTGCACCGAGTCTCCACTTGGGCACAGGCACGCAGCGGGTCCCTCCTGTTCCCAGTTGCAACACTAGAGCCCAGCACTCTCTTCCTGCAGCTCCTAGAGCCCCCTCGGAGGCCCTCTGAGCCACGTCTGCCACCTGTGGTGGGGGACAAGGGCCTCCTCGCTGGCCTGAGGGCCCCCTTCCTTAAATGTCCCTCCAGCTCCTGGCACCCCTGCAACGGTCAGAGGTGAAGGCCTCAACCCTCTCCACAGAGGCCCGACAGGCGGCCGGCTCGGGCAATCTTTGCCTGGCCAAGTCCTTGAAGTCTATATTTAGTACTCGCCACCCCTCCCATCCCGAGGTTGAGAGGCGGCAGGGGAAGGGGAGAGCCCCGCCCCTGCCGTGTGTGTGTGTGTGTCAGTGTGTGTGTCTGTGTGTGTCTGGGGCTCGCGCAGGTTGCGCGCCCTCTCCGCTTTGGCGCCTGCCGCCCCGAGGCCCGGCCGCTGCCCAGAAGACTGCCAAAAAGCTGGAGAAGATGGTGGCCAGGAAGCACACGGTGAGGCTGCAGAGTGTAGACCAAGGCCCACATCCCCGGGAGGCACAGCGCGGAGGAGCAGCCTGGGGGAACGTGCGGGATGCAGGGAGCCTAGGGAGGCGCGCCGGTTCGGGACCCAGGGTTGCGGCGCGGGGACTCTTGCCGGGCACTTCGGGGTGGGCGTGTGCACGGCCTGGGGCCGGGGCACCGTGCGCTTCCCTCTAGACGGGTGGTGTTCAACCCTGTGCAGCCTGTGAGGGGCCTTGGAAAAGCGGACAAAGCGACTTGAACCTGAGAAAGGACTTTCTGGAGTCCTGGGACTCTGCGTGTGCAAAGCCCTGGGAAGGCGGGGGCTGGAAGGGCAAATCCTGGGTGTCCAGAGAAGGAGCAGGGAAGCGCGTGAGAAGGGGTTGCAGGGCCGCGCTTCTCCGGTGCCGGAGAAGGTCTGCTAGAGAGGAGTGAAAGGGCCGCCAACCCCGAGGCTCCACAGTCTGCGCGCCAGGAGCAGTTCTGTTTGCAAGTTTTTTCTTGGTGGGGCCGAACAGGTGCTGGCAGACTGGGGAAGAGGCTCGCGGGGAGGCCTGGGCCTGGGGCTGGGGGAGGTGCAACGCCAAGAGCGGAGAGGTGCGGGTCCTCAGGTGTCAAAAGTTAATGTTTGATCCTCCCTGTGAATTTTGCCTCAGGCTACAGGTTGTTGGGGGTCCCTGGCTCACCTGCAAACTTGAGTGCAGGTCCCCAAATGTATAGACCTATGCTGGGGGCGCGAGGAGTGGGGAGAGAAAAGAGGGGATCCCGGTGGACACCTCCTTACCTGGCCCTGCCCAAGGCCCTCTTCTGCTGCCTCGGGACTTGAATTTCTAGTATGTTATGGTTTGGGTCTAGCTGTTCCCCCCAAGCCTCATGTGGTCATATGTGGACCTTTTGCAGAGGTTGCTAAATCTAGAGTGTGTGATGCTGGGATTAAGCGTGTGTGGTTACTAAATGACTCCACCGATCGGTTTGAAACCACCCTAAGCCCAGTAGCTTAGATACAGTAAGAGGCAGAAAGAGGCTTGTCTTGTCCCTTTCTTGCTTTGCTACCTTCTTCCCACCCTGATTGCTTCTCCTCTGTGATTCCTCTGCCATGCCACCCTGCGTTGGAGCCAGATAACTATGAGCTGAAACCTATGCAGAACTTGAGCCAAATAAACTTTTTCTCCCTTAACTTTGGGCATCGGATATTTTGTCTTAGCAACAAGCAAAATAACTAAGACACAGTACATTCGATTACCTTAGGGAGTTTGGGAAAGGGAGAGACCCTGCAGGAGATTCTAGAGCTGGCAAGAGGAAAGGGTCACTGGAACCGTGGTGTGTCAGGGGGCCCTCGAGTGGACACTGGGCAGTAATGAGATGGGTTCCTACAACAGCCAGAGCCTGAGTTTCTGCACTTCTGAGAAGGTAAGATTCTGGGGTGGGGGAGCCTCTGCAGGCAGGTAGGAGATGAGTTAGGACTTAGCAGGATTTCCAAGGGCTTGACTGGTGCCTGGGAAGAGCCCGTGAATGAGACCCACCCATCTGCAGAGCTCAGGGAGCATCTCCTTCACATTCTCAGTCCCTACCCTTTCCCAAGCCTGGGTTCCATCCAGGCTGCTCCAGAATCCCCTTTACACCAAGCCTCAAGCCACACGGAGCACTTTCCCACCAGTATCCTGGGCAGAATTCTATTTCAGGGAGACAGATTATCCCAGCCCAGTGTCTTACAACCACCCACCCCACCTGGGGGGCTCTAGGTGCGGTCAGGGAAGCTCAGGAGACCTGGGGAAAGTTCCTCCAGTTGGGGTAGAGCTCTGGCCGAAGAGGAAGGGAGCTGCCGAGCCTTCCCCTCACTCCTTTTGTTGCCCTAGCCAAGGCACTATGCTTCCCTTCTTTGGGCCTCTTTTTCTTCTTCTGTGAAATGGGAAGGGGGAACAGTGCCCCCTGTTTATGGGCTCCAGAGGAAGTGCCCGGGGCTGTCTCCAGGAAAAACTGCAAGGCTGGCTGCAGGGTCCCTGCCACACAGAGCCAACTACAGCCACGTCTGCACCTGGGCTCTTGGCAGCATCTGGGTGGGCACAGAGCTCTGGGCATCTGGACAAGGAAAGTGGGGCTGCTCTGGGAGTGAAAGTGGGCCCGCCCAGTGCACGCAGGCCCGAGACACACTTCCTATAATGAGGCAGATCCTCCATGTTGCAGCTCAGGCCAGGTTTTTCTGCCAGTCCTGAAGTCTCAGTGGCTTAGGGCTTTATCGGAAGCTTTGAGAGTGCAGCACCTAAAGCAGCTTCCAACAGACAACCAAGTACCAACAGTCACGGCCACACACACACACACACAC